CGTTCCAGCCGCTCTGCGTGCGTGCACTACTTGCTGGACGCTCTCGACGAACTACAGCGGGAACACTCTGCTGCCACACAACGAATGCGTTGTCTCTGTCAATGGACCTTAGAGCGTCCAACAAGACAATGTTGAGTACCTGGCGAGCACCTGGAGATGACGTCCATGGTCGCGGGGACAAATGTTCGAGTTGCTGCAGACACGCAGAGTCTTGGCCATGTACGATTCTCGGTAAATCGATAGTCACACCAACTCAGGCTTTTACGACCACAAGGTCACGCGGCGACGCCGAAGCTTCTCAAAGTTAACACGGACAAGTTCAACCCGCAGTGTTCGTGCATCGCAATACGCACGCCAGAGAATCGCGGTAGAAGGGGTGAGGCCACGAACGCATGGACCTGCGCTGGTGGTTTGATGTCGTGGGAAGGATCCGAACGCATCCCATTGGTTTAAAACAATGAATTTTCTTCCAATCGTGCCTAAGTCGCGCCGCCGAAAGGGCACGAAGTCCCAGAGATCTCGTCGGTGGAACGTCGCACGCACATGGAGTGGACCGCCCGCGACGAAACTCTCTTGCGGCAATGCGTGTTTGAGTGCGCGTATGATTTTGACGCGGCGGCCACGGTATTCCTCCAGCGCATACCAAAGCAACGCAAGCTCTCGTTGGGCGAGCACGCCATCACTCCACGTGTGATCGAGCTCAAGTATATGGAGCTCAGCGAGCTCGAAGAAGGCGACCAAGAAGACAACGACGGTAGAGTTGTAGAAGTTCAACCAGTGGAGGGCTTGAAAGGCGCGAGTACAAGTGACGATGCTACACTTGTCGTCGTTGCGTCCTCCGACTTGCCAGTGTTAGAGCTGCCGCTCTCCGAGTTTGACGTCGACTTGATGCTTCAGGACATCCCGACGGATTCGTTACCCCGAGACAGCGAAATGCAATGGGTGCTTTCATATTTGGAAGATCCAACGAATTCCGTGGACGAGGCAGTGTACAACCCGAGTCAACTGGGCATCGAGGTTGGCAGGTACTCTGGCTGCGACCTCCTGGCTCAATTGGACTTGGCGTTCCAAGCTAGCCGAGAACGGAGCTGCGGCAATCGCAGCGTCGACAATTTGCTAGCGCCTCACATTCTGTCGCTGGCGAAGGAAGATGAAGGGGGCACTCGTGAACCATCCAAAGTTGCCGCCACTGACGACAATGACATCCCAGACTTGGTTGCGCTGTCACCAGTGCAAACTATCATGGCAAGTGGCACAGGCATAGCATCAAGTCGACCACTTCCTCTTTCCGCTCGTGCGCCATTGAGCCATGGTTCATTAACTGATCTACCAGCTGCCCCATCAACGCCGCCTCCCTCATACCCTATCGATGAAGATGTTGATGTGGAGCAAAGTGAAGACGGCGCCTCGGACACGTCGTCAGACGCAGAGGACTGGAACTCTGCGCGGCGGTTGCTGAAAGATCGCACGACCGTACTCCCTCCGCAGCAACCATCGCCACTCCAGTGTGATGAAGCATGGCGCAGCGAAGATGACGATAAAGATGACAGCGTTGATGGAGGAGATGCGACCGAAGCAATGGAGCGTCAGCTTATGAAGTTGTGGAAGCGAGATGTGGAGCTCCAGGAGCAAGAGTTTCTCGGGACTCACTCCCGCGATGCCGCGGAGACAGCCCGCTTCATTCGAGAGGAAATGCAGGCGCTGCTGCACGTGGCTGCTCCAAGTGGATCGAACGTTCCACCTCGACGCCAAGAGGACGATGGCGATCAGCGCCAGTTTTTGGGCTACAAAAACCCGTACGCACTCGACGAACGCGAAGTGTCCTCAGACAACCCACCGATCGAAGCAACTGCTCTCGACATCGTGCGATCCCATCAAGAACGCCGGGAAAGGGCCTCCACTTCAATTCCTGCGGCTCCATGCACCAAACCGTCGACCGCAGATTCGCCTCAACGGGCAGTCGTCCCAGTGCCTCGCAAGAGGGGAACGATAGCACCGCCGGAGATAGTGGCAGACACCATCGCAGACCTTGTGGAAGAGAGCATCCTGGCTTCCGTCGACGAACTCTCTGAGGCTTTGTACCACCGCCAGCTGTCGCAGTCACTGCATGTGCCGACCTTGCCACGCTCGTATTGGCAGCGCCTCTTTACTTACGGCACTGCCGACTGCGAGGATGACTCCGAGCTCTTGGACGACGTGCATGTGCTGGCCTTGCAAGGCGCCGATTCGACAGACGATGCATTTGGTACGATAGTTCAGCTCTTTTGCCAACTCCAGCACGAGCCATCATCCCCTTGTACGCTCCTGGGCCTTCAATACACCGTCGTCCTGCCGGGACAGGTGTCGCTGCAGTCGCCCCCTCAAGGCCACCCTGACGCCATTCCCGTCTTGTTCATCGCGCTTCAATGTGAGTCCGCGTACATCGATGCAATTCTTCACTCCCCTGTACGCACCCATCCTCATTCTATGGTGCTTCACCCTCGCTCATCTTGGCCATGGGACTAGATGGAGTCCTTCTTACCTGGAAACGAGAAAGCTTTGGGCGATTACCTTGTCCGCGTGCCTTTTGTGACGCCTTCGCCGTCTGCCACAAGCACAGCTTTGCTCGTGCACCCGATTCACCTCTTCACTCGCCTCCCAACGTTCCAAGTCTTCCACAACCATCTTCCCCACCGCCACTATAACGCCACAACGGTCGTAGTCCTGCGCGACCCAGCGGCGCATGTCCTCGACGTACTCTACCGCACGCGGCCCCTTCTCGACGTCGTCGGTCTCAAGCTGTGTTTCGACGCGACATTCGAGCCACACGTGGTCGTGTCGCCCGACGTTGCCACCGCAACGTGCCTCGTCGCCATGGCGTTCCGTGGCATCGACGCAACTACTGTCGTCCGCGACGTGCTCCATGACGTGCCGAAAACTCACGTATATCTTCCTCATGGCGCCCTGCAAGCCCACCGCGACGTAGTTCACTGGTTTGGCGGCCGCGTGAACTCCGTCATCACCAATTCGTCGTCGGAGCTGCTGCCGCGCGCACGCCCAGTCTACGGAGTCGTCCTCAAGCCAGATCAAGTCGTGGCGATGCATGTGTCTGTGACATCGCCGAACGTGCTAGGTCGCGTCCTGTCGGCCGTCGCTTCCGCTGGGTACGAGCTCCTTGGCCTCAACCTAATCCACGGCCACGACGATGCCGCGTGCCACGTGCAGCTCACCATGCTCAAGGTGCGTTCGATGATCGTCCGGCCGTTGACCTTGTGTGCGACCAACCTTAGGAAAATGGAGCGAATGTGCATCGTCTGGCCCATCTGCAGTCTACCGTAGTCGACATAGACGACGTGATAGCGACAAACGTGGCGCCCCAAGCTAGTGAATTCAGCCACGGCGAGTTGGAGCCAGCAACTCAACCTGGCACCCTTCCTCCACTCTTCGTCGATTACGATCGGGAGCAGACTCTGTTGGCCGTACTCATGCCGGTCCGCTCGTTCTCTGTGTTTGGCATCGCCAATGTTGTGTGATGCTGTTTGGCGTAGATCGGAGACAACCACGCGAGGGAGACCGCGGCGGGTAGCTGCGTTGGAGTAGCAATGGAGCACCTGCTCGGCGCTTGCGCTTCCGACCAACTCGTTGGCGTGAAAGTCATCCATCCCAGAGCCGTGGACGCCGTTTGCGACACCTTGATGGCGTTGCAGTGCGTCGCATTTGGACCTGCTGCATCGACATCGCTGCCACTTGCGCCGGCAGTCGTCGTGCTCTTTCGACACCTCGTCGAGGATGGGCAATTTCGAAAGTCCTTTCGCCGGTTGACCGCGACGCCATCCATCGTGCGACTGTACACCGACCCTGCCATCGTCCGAGCGCTCCTCCCGGTGCTCTTTGAACGGTCCGAGTACGCTGCTCCGCGGCGGCTGTCTCCAAGGGACTTGTGTTTTCCTCCAACACCACGCACCGATGCAGACGCTTTTGCTGGCCTGTTCCAAACCGCCCCGTCCACGTCGTATTCGTCCGTGCTGGTCATTAAACCAGACGATCCTCTTGGAGTGCTTCCCGTGGTACTGCGACGCCTCGCCAGGGATGGATTTGAAATTGTATTCATGCACATGACGCTCTTGCCATCGTCCTCGCCGCCTGCAGTTGGCAACCTCTACGTTTCCGACTCGCAGCGCCTTCACATGGCGTCCCAACCATCGGTACGTTTATGCTCCCCGCCGACGGTTTTGTGTCGACCTCACCGATCGATCATTCCATTCGATATAGATATTGCTCGTCGTGCGGCGCATCAACTGCATTGCCCGTCTCCATGCGCTAGTTGGTCCGTCTGACCCGGACACGGCGCGCCAAGACGCGAGGTTCACCCTCGTCGCTGGCTACGGCATCGACCACGTCCGGAATGGCTTCTATACGTCACCAACGTATGCCCAAGCGCGATGGGACCTCCACAGTGTTTATGGCGTCAGAAGCGATGACGATTACAACAGGCTTGCTCGTCGGTACGCCTTTCCCCACGCGTCGCCGAAGTCATGCTATGCTTAGGGCACCTTCTGCCGCCATCTCCGCGCCGTTCATGCACACGTCGCCACCGCTCGAACCAACAACTTTCACGGCGACTCCCCGCACGCTTGTCGAAACAACGCTGCTCATCGTGGGGGGGGCGGCTGTTCACGCTGCAAGCGAGCTTGTGGCGTCCCTTGCCATGGATGGAGGCTTCCTGATCGTCAACTTGGCTCAAGGGGGTCTCACACTCGAACAGAAGCTACACTGCGCTGGCCACTTTGCGTCGGACTTGCTCGACGGCCCGTGGCTCGTTTTGGCCCTCGAGCGAGACAATGCCGTGTCACGGCTCGCAACGTACCTTCCCACGACAAGTGTCTACAACCCCGCGGTACCGTTGTCTTTCCAACCGTCTGTCTGCAGGTCTCACATGCCTTTGGTAGAGCCGTCAGTTGTTCCGGTGGTCCACGTCGGCGAAGGCGGCGCGCGCCGACTTGCCTTTGTTCTTTCACGTGTTGTATGGGAGCGTTCACAGCCTCGAGCCAGGGCCTCCTCCTCCAGGACGACATGTCGCCTTGCATTAAACTTCGTCTCAGACGCGGTCCCTTTCAACGCATGTGTGGCACGAGCCGACGTATCTACGGAAGCGGTGACAGGTTGAGATGCACAACGAATGGAACGAAAAAACATCCTAGTGTGCGCTGGCTGGCCCGCTTACGCCGTCGACGTGCCGGATCAAGATGGACAGTGCCCATGCGCGGCTAGAACGCTGCGAGGCATCTAGATTGCGACGACGAAACAGAATCTCGATGTTCGTTGACATAGGAGCCTTGTAAATACCGTGGCTACGCACACGGATTCGGCGGTGCTGTTTCATGCCGAGCAACGATGACGAAGCAAGGAGCGTCAGTCGCTCCATAACCCTCGAGAGCTGCGATGTGCTCAGGCTGAGCAGGACGATTGAGATGGTAGATTGGATCCCGATCTTGGCAAAACGCGCGACGAAGGCTCGGACCAGAGGAGTGCCAGCCGCGAGTCGCGCAACAAATGTGGTGAATTTACGTACACCACCTGAAGAAGAAATCCCAGGTAGAGTAGAATGTGCCTTTGGACGGGCGCCCCATGGACTTGAAGAGAGTGTGCAATGGCATGGGGTCGCAATTTATCGACAAGGGCGAAGCGTACACTGCAACAGACGAGAACGATTCCCACGACAGCCATGACGCACCGTATGCCCTTCTTCCAAGCATGCACAAGGACAGACTAGTGCAAACCTTGGACCGACTTGTCGCCATCGACGACGACGCATGCCACTGCGTGGATAGATATGGGTCTCGAAGAAACTTTCCCCATTCAGTTCGCATGTACGTTTGCCGTGGCAGTACGCCAAGGACAACGCAATCGGAACCACGATGTAGCCTCGAAACACTGTCATCGTGATTCTTGAAGGACGGCAGCAACACACACCTCCGTCGTCCTCGAACATCCAAACTCGGAAGGCCCCGTCACCGAGGAAAACATTGCAGCATTGGCCGCCCCGGCGTCGTATGCGGTAGTCGGTTCTCACGGCGCGGTCGCGCTGCCAGGATCCAACGCAACGAAAGCGTTGTTGTGCATGGCGCCATTCGCCAGGGAATCGTGGATCGATTTTGATTGGCTACTTTCATGGAAATCCTTGACATCGCTGCGTGTTGATTGGCTAGAAATCGAGATTGCGTTGGCGAGGCAGTTGAAACCGACGCAACAAAGTGAAACCGATTTGACCTTGGACCCAGTATACCGAGCCACTTCCACGGCGCCAGGTCCCCGCACGCCAGTGTTGAATCTCTGCGGGCTCGGGCACGAGGGCCACGTAGTGGACGGTGATGGTGGATGAATGCAGCCATGTCTATTGAAGTGCTCGTCGGAAATCTACATGGCAAGAGGTTCATGAAGTGTGTTTGGATTGTCCTGATTACGACGTTGCTGAGGTGAAATGCATCACGGATCATAGTGGCGGCCTGTTGAGTAGAAAGGCACCGCCGATCCTACTTAAATGGACCAGAGGTACATGCATGAGCAGAACGGAGCATGGGCTCCCAGATGGACCGTCCCCCACGGCATAGCGACATCGATTCAATGATCGGTCATGTGACTACATTACACTGCCATCGAGCTATACGACTTGGATGGGTCGTGGATCTCGCCCTTAGGCGAGTACTCGGCGGGGGCTTTGTGCAAGCGCACGGGACTGTACTTTTGTCCATCTCGACGACTGACCTTCGATCGGGTGACCCGTCGAGCGACAACGACGCCAAGCACTGTCAGTCCCGCCGAGACTGCCATGAGGATTCCCACGATCTTGAGTTTGTCTAAGGCATCATGCACGCACATTACTTGGCGAGAAAATGTGGTATCTCTTTACCGTCTCGCTCAGCCGCATGGAACATGGCCGAGTCGTATGGCGACGTCAAGCAGTCCGTGTTGTAGTGGAGGACGTGTGTTTTGAGCCCGTCAAAGTACAAACTTGCTCGACACTGGACAGGTTCGTCCTGGATCGAAAATGCCACGTAATGCATGAGCGCGCCCGGCGTGTGCGTCGTGAGGGCCTGCGTCTCGTACGCCGTGAAGTGGAGCGACAACTTCTGAAAGAGCACCGTCTGCCAAGACGTCTGTCAGCCGCACACGACAGCCTCGCGAGCTATTGCTGTACCGCGTTCAACGTGTTTTGGACGAGGCTCGGAATCGCATCCACGTTCTGGACTCGGCGCGAGTTCTCCAAAAACGACTCGGGCTTGCATCGCTCTCCCGTCGTCGTGTCGTTCGTACAAGTGTAGTCGGCGCTCGCGACGGTGTGATACTTGGGCCCGCCAAAGTGCACCGAGTCAAAATGGAGCGCCAGGAACAGATTGACGCGGTATGTGTACCCGGTTGTCGTCAGGACGTCGTTGTTGAGGACGACATGGTCGCCGTCCCAGTTGAAATCGGCGTCCACGCTGTGCTTGGCCACCTACGTCCACCATGGATCAGGGCGGACGCACGAAACGAGCGACTGCGATGTACCTCGGCCGTCACGACGCGATTCGCGTGGATCGTGGCAAAGTGAAAGTGCAATTTCGTCTGGTAATCGTCGACAAACTGCGCCGCTGTCATGTCGACAAACGGATCCTTTGGCGACACTGCCACGTACGTCAGATCGCCGTCTCGGTAGCCAGGTTGGGGCGCCGACCTTCCACCCAACGCGCGCACACCATCCGCGGTGGCCGCCATCGCCGCAACCGCAAGCAATGCTCGCCTCATATGCAGCATGCGATCCAATTCCCCACTGAGTCCAAGTTCGTCATCGTCTTGGCGTTGTCCTTCGAATACGAATGGATGGACCACGCGAAACGACGTCTCGAGAACGATATGGTTCACGCCGAACGTTTGCACTTGGCCCGCGGTGCAGGACTTCGACGATCGAAGAATTTGGTGCATTGGAATTGTTCCAAGATCGATGGCCCCTCCGTCCTGGCTCGGTCGGGGTTCGAATCGAACGTGGTCGTTGCCGAAACCTTGCTATCGCTCCGTTCATTTCGACCTTAGCCTGACCATGCTTGGATTGTTCATGCAGCGTCGATGGGTGCATGCGCTGCTAGTCCTGTGCAGCTGCTCGCTGTGGGCCACGGGCCTCGACGAAGAGTTCTTCGTTCCGGCCGACGTGACCGACCCAGTCGTGAACAGGACCGCCGAGGCGTTCGTGAACGAGTATGCGTTGTTCCTGTCGGACGTGTTTGCAGTCGTGCCAGAGAGAACCGTGCTCGAGACCCTTGTGTACAAGCATCCGTTGGCGATCCGAAACAACGACGACGATGAGCTCGTGTACGAGCCAGGGTTTACGTACAAGCTGCTTGTGCTATTTAAGCTCCAGTGGGACTCCCCAGGGTTCCGGACGACGCCGTTCGTGTCGGTCGGCGAGTGCATTTACGCGTGCGTGGAAGGCACGGACGGCAACTTGAGCTGTGAAGGGAAGCAATTCAGCCAGGTCGAGCGCAAGGACGTGGGGGTCGATGCCCCGGGTGCCCCACGTGCCCTCGAGTTTGTCAAAAGTGTACGTTTGTTCTGGCGTCCATGTAATTTTCACTGCAGCGTTTGGCTTCGATTGTAGTCGCTCAACCACGAGTACGACAACGCGCGCATGACCTTGACGGCGTACGAGACCCAAGACGACGTCGATCTCGTCGAGTACGTCCAGTTCCAAGTGGAGAACGAGCCCGTCAAGTGCGAGGCCGCGATCTACACAAGACGGCGCACGGCCGGCGCCGCGACCAAGAAGGTTGTCTACTTTGACGATGCCTGCATCAAGGCCACGTACAATGGCCTGAACCTGGACACGTTTGAGCATATCCAACGCACGGACGTTGGCATCTTCCTCATCGGGATTGCCCTCGCCGCAGCCGTTGTGGCCACTATCGTCGTGTACCGCCGACAACTCTTGACGGCTAAAGGAACGTACCGCAGCATGCACATTCGGTTTGGTGGCGACACAGTCTTGTAATTTTCAACATGGAAAACAACTCTACGCAACCGTGAGATCACGCAGGCTCGACCTGCCACGGCCATCTCTTTGCACCTAAGCCAACCCCGAAAAGCCCCCTGCCCATCCCCCCTCTCGCGACAGGATACACGTACACGTTTCCGGGGTGCCTTCTGTCGCCAAGCATTTGTGCCCTGTAAAGTAGGCACACTCGACACAAAAACAGCTACAACCTTCGTGCCCTACTGCTGGAGCTCTCACTTACCAGACGCGCAGCCTCGTTCCCCAGCCCTCGACTGAGGGGGACACACCAGTTTATTCTTCGCACCGTTTGTTGCCGGCGCTGTCTACGCCGTGCAACGCCCTCGGTCAGTTGTCTTGAGCCTCAGAGACAGCTTTCGTTCATGTGGCGGCGACCTTTCGTGTGAAGATCGTCGTTGCCTGGCAAGATGACTTGGAATCTGTATGAACAATGTGTTTTTGTGCGAGAAGCACTTGTCGTGGATGATGGAGTGCAATATTGCATACAATTTAGTTTTTTCATTTGGATACCGAAATTGCATAGATATTATATATAATATTTTGCTTCGAATCGAGAGGTTTGGTCGCTTACATGAAAGGAGATTACACATATTCGCCCAGGTCGCAGTGTGAGTCTGGGTCGCCATCGGAGGCGTTGACGAGATGAAAGCGCCGCCGACTCCCGAGTCGTCTCACGCGCCAGTCAACTACTTTGACGACTCTCCGTCGTACGATATGATACCAAGGAGAGGATGCGTTCTTGACCCCCGTGATGTAGAGTTCAAGAAGCGCCATTCAAGTCCGTGCGGTCGCCGCACAACAAACCGCCCGCCACGAGCGCGTTGACGACACAACCGAGTTTTCGCGGTGAAAAGATGCACCTGGACTTGTCTTTGCAGTGGGCAAACAACTTTGGTATCCAGCTCGCGATGTTCCTCTTCTTCATCGGGGCGCTTGCCGTCACGATCGTCATTCCGTCCGTCGGGTACAAGGTTGAAGTCGGGTTGCTTGCGGGCGGATCCGTCACGATCTTGTCGACCGCCGCGGTCCTGTACACGTACTCGGCGATGCCGATGTGGAAGAAGCATCCGAACCCGTTGATCTTTTACCGCAGTCTTTTCGACATGGGGTTTGTCCTCGTCCTGATGACAACCCAGTTGTACAAGTACGTTGCATCTTGACGTCGTCTGCATGCATCACGTCTCATGTCGATGCTGCCGCGCGCCGTAGATGCTACAACGGTCACTGCGTCGTCTCGTCAACCAAGGAGGGTACCGACACCGCCACGTTGGCCATTCTGAAGCCGCAAGGATGCAACACAGTCGCCGGGTTCACGCAGTTCTTTCTCCTGGGGTCCGAGTGCTGGTTCTTCGTCATGTCGGTGGACTTGTTCAAGTCGGTGCGAAGTCCCTTTACGGACTTCAAGCGCAACATGCGCACCTACCATGCCTTTGTGTGGGGCCTCTGTACGACCACTCTCGCGTTCCGTCCCTCGATCTCATGGGAATTCTAGCCACGGTCTCGGCCATTTTGCTTGTCGCGATCGATCAGTCGGGGCCGTCCGAGTTCAATTACTGCTGGACAAAGCCCCACAACAAGGGCACGACCCTCGACAACCGAAACATCTTTTGGAGCTTGAACGTCACGAGCTGGGGCTTCTTCTATGCGTGGATCATCCTGTACTTCTTTGCCGCGATCGGGTACGACGTAGCGTCCCATATCTTTGACATCTCATATCGTGGTGTCGGTCGCGCAGCGTCATCTACTTTGCGTGGCAGCGGCTCAAAGGTGGTCTTGCCGAAACCCTCCGCGTCCGGCTGCGCGTCCTACACTCGGTCACGGTGTATGTCGTCGCCATCATCATTTACTGGGCCATCACGTTCGGCGTGTACGTGCCGTATCTGGCGCTCGGGCTCGTCAACAACCCGATGGACTACCCCGTCCTGCCGCAAGTCATGGTGTTCTTCATCACGTGCAAAGGATATTTTGATTTCTTTGTGTGGTTTCAAATCAACGAGCTGCCGTCGGGGTGCGTGTGCCACGCCCTGTCGTGGACAAAACTCACGGATGTGTCCAGGAAGCATCCGTCGTCGTCCACCGCGACGCCTCCTACCGCCGCCAAGGTCGATGTGGACGTCGACTTGAGCCCGCAAGTGAACCAGGCCCTTCGCGCAGAAGTGCTGTACTACACCACGACCGGGATCATCCAGGCCGCGCGCCTTGCGGCCACCGATGCCGAAGATAGCGACATGCCCAAGCGAGAGCTCCACCTGACCCCGCAGGGCGGCACGGCGTCGA